GAGAAACACACACACACACACACACACACACACACACACACACAACTATGCAAAGGCACAACAGATAAGTAATATAAACAACTCCCTCCCTTGCTCAAGGGCCTGGTGTGGAGGAAACAGCTCAGAGCTATGTTTTCAGTTTCTAAAATTCCTTTGCCTACTCTCTTGGAAGGGCTCCTTTGCTGCACTCTGTAAGGGAAATTCTGACCTCCAGCATAACACTCATTGTTTCACAGAGCCTGCCGCCCACCTGCGCCAGACTGAGATGTGGCCAGTGAAATCCTGGCCACTGATGGTTATGACATGGGGAAACTGTAGCATTATGCTCTTCCCAAATTAAACTCTCAGTGCAGGCCTCAGGCTTGGAGTTCTGGTTTTCTACCTAACTAGAAAACTGGCCCAAACCACTTCAATCTGAAACTATAGCTATTACTTTCAGGTTAAGAAACGGATCTTATTTTTTACTTTTTAAATTAAAATTACTGATAAATCATCACAAATTCGAAGAGTCTCTCCTCTCCACCCACAAAAAGTGCATGCACAAGTCAGAATGGTGATGCATGTCTATAATCCAAGCACTCTGGGAGGCTGAGGCAAGAGGACCTCAAATTCAACCCCAGCGCATGCAACTTAGCCAGACACTATCTCAAAAGATGGTCAGGGCACCAAATCTGGGTTCAATTCTCAATACCACAAAAAAGTAAAGAAATAAATAAAATGAAAACGACAAGAAAAAGAAAACAAAAAAGAAACACCCGTGTTCCTATTTTCCTATTTTCTGCCAGGCTTTGTGGCGTCTGGTCAGGGCCACTAGCCCTGTGCTACTGAGAACACAGATCCGCTTCCTACAACTGTTAGAACAGAACTGTGACTTTTCAGCTAATTTAAACTGGAGATACACAGGTGGCTTAGGGTCTACCACATCCAAAAGGCAGAGCTATAAAAGCAAATCACTGCACTGTGGTGGCTGACACCCTGTGCCAGTGCGGGATGCATCTCTGCCATACACAGTGTCGATCAACAGACTCAACACAGGCTTTCGTGTGTGTGTGTTGTGTGTATGTATAATTCACAGAACTTTCCTCTTTAAGTGGGAAAACCCATTATGACAGACAGGAAGGCAAAATAACACCCAGATTAAGAAGTGGGCTTTGGCAGTCACATAGTCTTCCAGCCACCACACACCAGCACTTTACCTGTCTTGGCACCAGTCAGCTTTGTGCCCCTGAGCCCAGGATGAAAACAGTTACAGTCCTCGGCCCAGCAAGTCTCTAATCTCAAAGCACAGCATTCAGAAGCAATGACTATTTGCACAAGAATAACTAGGAAAACCTGCAGGAGGAAAAGGCTATATAGCTTCAAATACTTCAGGTGGTTTCTCTCTTTTGGCTCTGGTACTACCCAGGGAGAACCACTAGACAAGTTCTCCTTTTGGTTCTTACTCACAAGGAGGCTCAGAAAAGTCACAGAGGCCCAAGGTCAAACAGCTGGTTGGCCAGAGGGGCTCTTTGGACAGTTCAGGCCCACGTGGGGATATGCCACGTGTTCACTTTTGCCTGTCACCCTGTTGGTCATGGAGCCGGCTGTAACCCTCCTCACCACCCAGCGAAGCAGGCTCACGATGCCCCCATCCACAGCAAACTATTGAGGCTTTTCTAGCCAAAAGCGCGATTCAAAACGTTCTGGGACACCAGGGCCCCACGGCGTGCAGAGCATCTCCCAATCAAGTCCCTCAAACATCCAAACCTTCAGCAGCTGTGTGAAGCCAAAGGCTTGAGACATCTGTGGATGAATGCAGGGAATCTGATGGGGGAACCATGGTGATTCCTGGGCTCATCACAACAGATGTACTCGCAGGAAGGCCCAGCACCTGAGGGTCTGGGTGGCACAGCACGCCCCCTTCCCCCTAGGCAGCTCTCCTTGCCTTGGCAACCCCACCCCCTGGGCCCAGCACAGTATGTGGTACCCAGCACCGTCCCATAAAGATGTGTCCGTCCCCATGTGAGGGCAAGTGCCTTCTTCTAAAATGCTCTGGTGTAGAATAAAAAACTTCAGATTTTGAAACATTCGCCGCTGAGTAGGTCCACAACAGAGCGACCCCTCCCCCCCCAAAACCACCTCCTCTTTAGTGGTAGAGACACAGCCAGGAAGTGGCAGGCCTCTCTTCCCAGGAAGGAGGCCACACGCGGTGTGGGGCTGGGCCAGCTGGCAGCAGGACACCCCAACTCTCCCTTCAGGGTCCCGCAGGTGTGTAGGTTTGATTGAAGCCTAGAATCGCCGTAGGGGGGGTGTTTAAACAAGTGGCCCGAGTGACACTTTTAAACTTTTCATGCTTGTATTAATTACCTACCTACCTGGGAGGCTTTGCACAAAAATCTGCAGCACATCTGAGGCACGAGTGGCCTTTAAGATACAAAGCTTTATCCTAACCTCTTAATTATTTCATATCAACATTGTCCTTTATTTATTTATGTATTATTTATTTATTTTTCCCGAATTGTGTCTTTTCCAGATCCAGCAATGACTAGCTGGAAAGTTTTCCTAATACCATCAGACACCCTCTCCAGCCCCCAAGCCACAGCCTTGGTAGGGGGCCCAGCCAGGAGACATCCCGAGGTCAGGTCCAAGCTCACAGGAGCAGGACACTCGCGGCCGTGCCGGGGTGGGGCTGGGTTTTCTAAGGCTCTGCCCCGCAGCACCTCCAACTTGAGGAGACACGCGTGCGACCCTAACTTCACACGGAATTTCCCATGCACTCGGCTCCGAG